GGAGAGAGACAGATTTACCCCACCCAATCTTCAACTCATACTCATATACAACCACTCCTGGATCAGAAGCAGATATTTCAATATCATTTATTTTTATTTCAAAGTTCCAATACACGCACAGAGAAAGTAGTAGATAAACTGACAAAGTACACATGCAACTAGGTACTTGTACAGATAAAGGAGGCACTAAACAGAACTATGAGTAAATGATACTGCAGAATAGAGTTGCTTCTAAGTTTGTTTAGTTTGAAAGTTCGTTGACAGCTTAAGTAGTCTATAGGATCTCTTACTGGAATAAAATTAGTTTTAACGTGTCCAAAATAGCGCTGGAGATTTAGGAATAATGGTAAAAGTTTGTCGAAATTAGCAGCTTCAGTAACTGCTTTTTTGGTTAGAAAGAAGTACAGGAATTTTCAACACCTGAAAATGATGTATGTAACTTGTCTTTGGTGTACAAGTAATGAACTACTTTTCAAGTATACTCAAAAGTCTGCAACTGTCTTTGTGGATTTCTGCTTAATGATCTTTCACTTAATTTTTTTGTGGACTTCTCAACCTCTAGATTTTAACTATCTCCATCTTAGTAATATGACCTTTTCTATAAAAATTATGAATTGCTCAGAAGTTGCATTTCAAACAAAGTAACTAAAGCCTTACCCTGCATTTCATCTTTTGCAGCTTGAGCATCAGCTCTATTCATGAAAGCTACAAACCCACAATTCCTTTGCCGCCTTCTTTCCTCTTCTGTCCTGGGCCACATTATTTTGACACTTGCAATAGGTCCAAATCTCCCAAAAGTGCGTAAAAGGAAATTTTCATCAACCTATAAAATCATGAAAAAAAAAAAAAAAAAAGAAGGAATCCACAGAAATTCATGAGGAAAGAATCATAAAATTTCATTTGAGCTGAAAGCAAATAAAAATGAAGTACATTCTATGTAGAAGCCCACCTGAGGTGATAGATTTCCAACATAAAGATTTGTGGTTTGCGGGTCCCCGTCATCAAATGATCCAGGCCTTCCACTGGGATCAAAATCATCTGGAAGCTCATCAAATCGACTAGATGGCTGAGGACAAATAGCATCATTAGACAAATACAATACCAATGATCCAAAGTTACCAACCAAATGCAGATAATACATGGGAGACACGTATGTAAATTAATAAAATGTTGTTGAGGAAAAAAGACAGAATAGCTCACAATGGTCATGTCAGCATGAAACAAGATATCAGCATGGTAACTAATATACGCATATGAAAATGGATGTGAAATATTCAATAGAAATTCCATAATGAACTTATGAAAATCATATAGCTTTTTGCCTCATTTACAAACAAGTTGCAAGTAGCATGATCAGTTGGAAACTGATTTTAGCATGATAAGCATCTACTGCATCAATTAGATGAAAATACTACAGTATTTTGCAATTATTACCTGTTCCAATTTACTACAACAAAAAATTAAAAAAAAAAAATGGCATATATAATATAGAGATTTAAATCTCACAAGGAATATTACATATTACAGTTGACTTCACATTTTGCACTTGTTCTGGGTTGAGCAGCAACTTACAGTAGAATTATCAGTATGTCGATCACGCCAATGTTCACGCTCTTGATTTCGCCTTTCCCTCATTTCTTGTTCATGTTTCAATTCCTCCATAAAATTATCGATATTCCTTGATTTTCCTTTTTCTCTTTCCTTGGGCTTCTCCTCCTTCTGCATTTAGTAAATCAAAATCAAAATTTGAAATAAAATAAGCGTAAAAGCAACTAGCATGTTGCCCAATGGTTATTGGTGGTGCAACTAACCTTCCTTTCATAATCTCTACTCTTAGTTGCCATAGGAGGTGGTATGAAAGATGGTACATACCTGCACAAACATGAAATATGTTCCAAAGTCTGTGCCACCAATAACCTTTTTCAGGGATATATAAGATGGATGTGAAAGAATAACTAACAATAAATCATGTGAGTTAATTTGCATGGGCGAGCAACAATTCTATATTGCTATCACTTTCATCATCGACAAACCAATTAACAGCATAGACTGGAAACCAATAAAGATTAATGTTCAATACAGTTGAACATCACCCAACTCCAAGCAGGCTTCCTATCAATTTCTTTTGTTTGTTTGATTTATTTCTTTGTGGGGGATTGGGTAGTAGGCTTTCTGTCATTGGTGGCAATGGACTGAGTAGAACAGCAAAATAAGCCGTATATGCAATTAAAAAAATGCTAACTGCACTGTTTGGCAGCATCAAATACATCCGTCATCGGTATATGGGAGATATAGTCAAGCAAAACTGTAGAACAGCAAAATGAGTGAACAAATGAAGAGAAAACAAATGCTAGATGTTAAAGACCACAATTACAAAACAACAAATACACAACTTCCAAAGTATAATACCGACTATACCATTATTTTTCTTCTCAGAAAACCCATTACATTAGCAGAATTATCCCTTGGTCACAAAAGATAAGTTCATATGAACATTAAAAATCAAGTGGAAAAAAAAAAAAAAAAAAAAAAAAAAGTAAAGATAATGAGGTTGGTCTTCGAACTTCCTAATATTTACAAGCCCAATAAGCACAGTCAAGATAAGATCATGAGAAATCTTGGCATCCAGGATGCGGCATTAGAGTAGCATTATAACATGGTCAAACAAAAGGCATATGTTTACCTACTCCCCTTCTTTAAACCAGAACCCTCATCGTTGGAATTTCCACCTGCCATCCGTGAATGAATAGAAAAGGTCCATACTTTTATTAATGTGTCCATGTAAGAAAAAATCATTCATTTATCCAATATTCATAAAGCATAAGAATGTTATGTTGATTACCTATTTAAAAATACTACAAAAGAGTGAGAACAAAGTGTAGCTACAAACCTTCAGAATCATTCTTCAACTTCTCATTGGGATTGATGACCCCTCCTCTAACAAATGCCTTTGAACCAGGTACGTCATCAACTTGGAATGACTCCACAAACTCTTGATATAGACGAGCTGTTTCATCCTCAGCTCTCTGTCAAAGAAAACCAGCAACTCAGCAAGGGATACTAAAGGTTAGGAAGAAGAAACATTTTTATTCTAGAAAGTAGAAGCTTCACAGCTCCAAATTAGTACCTTTTTCTTAGCCTCTTCCTCTTCACGGTGTTTCTGGAAAGGTGTCTTCTTCCGTGCACTCATTTTCTCACCATATAATCAAATGCAGCACAGTTTTAATTGAAGCAGACTACAACATCATAACAAGTTTATCAGTGCAACAGTCCAAGTAAGTAACACAACCATAGACAGCTTAATTAGAAGCAAACTAAATGGAAAATTAAAAAATGACCATTGAAAGATTTTGGGTAAGAAATCTACCCTGACTTAATACAACAGGGCAAAATTTACATAAAAGAAGTGATTGACTTCAATTTACCACTGCCTCTAAACTTCAAATATATAATAAAAGGAGACTGAAGCCCCTAAGGTGTTTCCACTTCAAAGTGTTAAATAAAAGAGAAACAAAAGACAACTCAAAAAATGCCCCCGAAAGTAATTAAAGCTTAATTAGCTAAGAGAAACAAAAAGACAACTCAACTTATGAAAACTACACATCTTAACTGAAGCTACTAATATACCAGTCAGCAGGCTATGAATTGCAGGTTATATAAGAAAACACAACAATTATCATATAAATTGAACATTTCAAGAAGAGTGTAAGCTGCACTTAAATTCAAGGTTGATTCAACACTAATGTCCTGACTGATCCAGGATTCAATAACACAATTGGAAGTAAAAAATGAACATCACTGCTACGCTCAGAAAACAAAACTAACAAAAACAAAAATTAAATTAAAATTAATATTAAAAACGCATTTCCACCACGAATAACTGTAAGACGGGTTTAAGATTTCAGAGGAATAAAAAAAAATCCAAACGCTCAGCCCGGTACGATCATGAACAAAGCTAATCACAAACCTGAAAATCAGTAGAACATTTCAATGAAGAAGATTAGTAGGCCTAACGTTCTCCTTACGCGCCGATGTCTGGTCCACCGTTGCTACGTAGGTTCACTGTCGTGCAGCTTCGCCGAAAAGAGTGGATTCGGGGGAGGGCTTTTTGATTTAACGGGTTAGGGTTCCTCTGTTGAGTTTCTGTTTTTTCTTTTTTTCTTTTTTTTTTTTACAAAAAATTTCACGTCCTTCGCTATCGCGTCGCTGCATAGCACGACTCAAATTGAGTTTTAAGGGGTTAGGGTTCCTATGTTGAGTATATGCCATGTTTGGTAAAATAATTAGTCTATTTTAATTTATTTATTACTATTAATTTTTTGACTTGGTTAAATAATTAATATGAAAATTTTTGTAATATTTTATTTCTTTTAAATGCTAAAATTTTAAAAAACTGCTTAGAATAACTTTTTCGATCAGTTTTTTTGAGAAACTCATTTTGTATGTAATCAACTGACAACTAATTTACCAAACACTTTTCTACAAATTAGCTAATGTTACCTTACCTATTATCCAAAGAGGAATCCTTCCAGTAGTATCGGCCATTGACCCCACTTACCCTCACATTTCATCAAGTAGTCATGCTAGAGACATAAACATTCATGAATAATTATAATCTTAGATCTTTTTGAATGGGCTAAGAGAATGTCTAGAATTCTTAGTTGTTCTCTTTTGTTTTCTTAATTAAAGAAAGAGTTAATTCCACTAGAGGTCCTTTGTCTTTGATGACAATTTCAAATTTAATCTCACAATATCGTTTTTGTCATTTTAAATCCTAGATTATCATTTTTTGGACACTTTTAGCCTTTTTTATGATTTTTTTTTTCTATTTTTAGTAAGGAAATTTTTGTCTCTTCATATTTTTCTTTTGTTATTTTTCCGATTTCAATCGATTTAATTGGTTTAAAACTTTAGGTAACCTCTGATTTGTAGTAACCATATTTTTCAACTGGATTCTGGCGGTACGAGTAACGTAACCCAAATGGGTCCCAGAGAGACCAACAAGAATCAGCATATTTTCATGACCATAAACTATAATCAGTCTACTCTTCTGAGTTTAAATCAACAAACAATAACCAATTTCCTAAAATCCACCAAACTTGAATAAAAAAATTAAACTTTTTTCAACATCATCAACAGTTTCTGCCAGCAGAGTTCCCAGAATACTCTCCCATATCCTCTGTCTCAACCACATCTTCAATCCTTTTCCCTCTGTCTCCTGAGACATCTGCAGCATGGTTCAGTCTCCTCAGCCAAACATCATAGTCCACCGGGTACGGTGTTCCACACAGGCTGTCTATATAATCAGCAAACGCCTTCAAGAGAGCCGAGACCTCGCCAAGTCTGTGTTGGATCACGCGTTTTGCCCAGGATCTCTGCCTCCATTGCAATGCCGATTCGATGGAATCTTGCTGCTGCATGGCTCCACCGCAGATGAAGTAGATGAGGTAGACGAGGCTCTCGGTGTCGGATGATGGGCAGAGTTTCCCGTGCTGAAGTGCGTGAGCTGATGAGAATTGTAAGTTCATTGCGGGGCTGTCCCGTTCCTCGAGAACTGCACGGCCCCACGACACGAGGACGTAGGAGTGGCTGCTGCTGCTAGCTACGCGAATTATGTGTTCGGGGCATATGTCACCGTGTTGGATGTTGGCGGTTTTTGCACTTCGTAGGGCGGCTAAGCAGTCATGGCAGCAGCGTATGGCTTCTTGAGGGGAAAACGGGCCATCACGAGCAATGACGGATGAAAGTGGCTCCCCTACGGGGTATGTAACGAGTACGGGAGTCCCGCACCAGGGATGATCACAGCAGCCTTTCTGGCTCGGTTTCTCGCAGGGACCCGAGTGCATCATTCTGCCCGAGGCTACGATTTCAGGCAGGTTTTTACTCGAAATTCCCTGCTCCCGGAACATGTTTAGTACTTTGGTTTGCCTCTGCACGTGGTACCATAGACTCATGTCTTCCCAAGAAGGCTCGAGACGAGAAGGATGAGCGCCAAAGTGCAAAGTCAAGGAGTCCGGGGGACAATCCAAAGCAACTCCAATGTACGAACACGAGTAGTCGGGTAGAGGCTCGTGAACTTGGAACTGCTTCTGCCCGAGGCTATGGTCTTCTAGGAGAACAATTTCGCCTCGCTTAAGATGTAACCGGGACCCTTGCTTCCTCGGCTTTAGCTTCTCGAGTTCCACAATTTCTCCATGATGGTCACTAGTATTCTCGTAAGGAACCAGTGCGTTTTCATTCTCGATAAGACGACATTCAATCCTGCGCTTTTGGAGACGAAGGCTGTGGTCGGCTGCAAGCGAAGCGATCGACTTTCTAGGCGGTCCGTTCCACTGACATATAGAGTAAAATGTTGCCAAAATTAACTGTAGAGTTCCTAAGTCCCCCCAGTTCACATTTCCTAGCTTGTTCCAAATCCTATCCACCGGGGAAATGCTAATTTCTGCGTGACACTTCATCCATTCTGCCATGGACTGATACGGGTTAACTAAATCCACTTCAAGATTACCAAGATCGCCTCCCAGTTTCACCACGCCTCCAAATTTCGAGTCCAGAACTAAAATAAAAACCGAATCACCATCTACAGAACTATACCTACTCAAACTCCTCGAAAGAAGAACGTGAATGCCATAGAAGAGAGCTTCACAAACAACAGCCGTGGAAAATCCAAGCCCGTTTCCCATCAGAATATCGGTTTTAAACAGTGCAAACTCGACAACATCATCCCAACGAACATGTGGAGTATCCCTAGTTCTTGACATCAGAGCAGCCCCCGAGAGCCCTCCGAGTCTTCCTCTTGATAACGCTTTCTCCAAGGTGTAAAACTTTGATCCCGGGTAGCGAGGACAAGAGACAAAATATGGCATTGGTTTACTTTTATGCCAAAACGTGTGCCACAAACCATCTGCAATGGTATGCAGAAAATCTTCCAGTGCTAGATACTCGTCTTCTTTTAGATTATCACAGCTGTACGGTGAACAAGGCATACGAAATAGCTGCTGAAATAGAATCCCCTCCAACGCATAATCCAGGGCACGGAGTTCATCGATCAGAAAAGGGGAACTAAACGATTGTTCACTATTACCATTATCAGGATATAAATTTTCCTGAACCCACTCTTCCAGAATACGTGTAAACAAATCAATGTCAACAAGTTTTGCTGCATAATCCTTGAGAACTTTATACGCTCTTTTTGATGTAGGCACAAACTTGCCCGACGCGCTGGAGGTGGTATGAAATGAAGTGACTGCATCCAAGATTTGTATAGTTTTTAGAACTCATAAGAAAGTAGCACTTACTAGCAAAAAAGAACCGAGAAAGAAGAATAGTCATAATGCCCATCATAATAAAGTAGCCAATGACTTTCTTACATACAAAATGACTTTCTCAAAAAGCATATCGATTGAGCAACTTTTGAATTTTAGCATTTTGGAGCAATAAGTTATAAAAAACTAATTAATCAAACACTCATATTGATTGTTTAACCAAGTTAAACAGCTAATAGTGGTCAAATAAGCGAAAATTGGCTGATAGGCTAACTATTTTACCAAACAGGGCCGTAGTAGTATAATAGAGACCACGCCCCTTTATGTTTCAGATAAATGCAAAGAAATCTATGTATTGGCTCTGGTTTAAGATGAAAATAAGGTTAATGTTCCTTTTCCACGAAGCATTATTAGAAAAAGGTTCATACCAGACCCTGGCTTCCTGAAACTCCCATCTAAGCTTTGCCCGGTGGATGATTCCAGATCATCTTTAGGAAAACCTGTTTACACGAACAAATATTCAAACAATTAGGCCGTGTACATTTTGACATTTCATTGGAATCTTTGCTACAAAGCAAACATAAATGACGTTTAAACTTCCACAGTTTTCAACTATACTAGACCTCGAAACAACTTTACTTGCGTATTTTTGTTCTAAGAAGTGGCTAGGGAATGTTCTTTCAGCTATACCACTATGCCCATTTCAGTCATGACTGTCCAATTCTTTTCACTGCCTTCATTTTTCCAAAACTGCAACTACTTTGAGACGTTTCTTCACAAAAATTTGGAAGTAGCAAAAGATGTAAGGGCCAAAAGAAAAACTACAAGGATCAAGTAAAGTTAAAGCTCTAAATAGGGCCCAATTAACAAGTACTTTTCAGCAAATCAGTGCTGTATTTGGCATTATACATAATTGGAGTGCATAAAGACATAATTTGAGGTGATTTTCAGTCAACATCAAACCTTAGATTCTTGGAACAAGAAGATCATCTTTTTTTTTTTTTTTGAAATATTAAAATACTTTTATATTTTCCCTATGTTGCCAAAAAAGTCTGATATAGGTACAACATTAAGAGCAAAACAGTACAACTACCCACAGCCCTGTGAACCACATAAAGTCAATATCTTTCTCACCAGAGATTCTAAAGAATCCCTTTTTTCTGGCCATTTTTCTTCTTTTTGGTCAAAAATCAATACGATTATCCAGAATAAAGCCAATTCCGAAAAATGGGTTTTCAATTCTTGAAAACAAATAATTTATCTACATCACTGTCTGAAACAAACCGCATAAAGGCAGTATCTTTGCCACTAAAGATTCTAAAGAACCCCACTTTTGTTCCTTTATCCTGGAGTTCTATTCTTTTCAGTCAAAAATCAATTACATTCCCACATTCAGTTCTGGAAATCTGGAACAGTTTCAGCCCAAACAAAAAAAAAAAATAGAAGATAAAATGAGAGCAAGTTAAAAAGCTGAACTGAACTCACCTAATCTCATCTTGAATGGTGGTCCAATGGAGACTTTAAACAGGGAGGTGTGGAAGGGATGAAGCAAGAGATCTCCAGAGCTTGTTGAATGTGCATATTCTTGAAGCTCAGAAGCTAATAATGTGTTGTTGTGCAATGCCGGAGAGGGAATGGCAGCAAAATGGGGAAGAAAGAGGGTGAGAGTGGAAGGGGAGAATCATTGTGGAGAATGGGGATGGATGAGTACACGGGGGTGAGTTGGAGAAGAGAGAGAGAAGAGAGAGAGAGAGAGAGAGAGAGAGAGGTTGGAATGATGTGGATGTGCGAATGGTGCCTCCCACGGGTCTTGGTGACATTATATATTTTAATTGCAATGCTTGTTGGATTTTGGTGTCATGCTTGTCTGCTATATGTTCCCTTTTGCCATTAATCAATTTCATGTAATCATACTCTTAAGCTTTAAATTTGTGACTTCCATCTAGTGTTTGTGTTCATTTCTTTCTATCATTTTGATTCTACTTTCAATCTCATATTCTTTCTCAATTCTCAAATGTATTGCCAAATTGCAGCAAACTTGATAGGATAATTGACTTGGTAACTAATTCTAAATTCGACTTATTAAATGAGTTGTTTATTAGCATTATTGATGAGTCGATGAACTATTAACAACTTATGTTGAGTTATTTACTCCTTGTGGATACAAGTCGTCATAATAAAATATCATGATTAACTTTGATCATATTAGTTTTAGATGGATTAAGAAATCATTGAACATGATGGCCCATACGTTAGCAAGGGCACCAGGCTCTCAATCTGACTATGGTTTTTGCCTTTTTGGGATTCCATCCCTCCTGTTTGTATTCATTCACTACTCTCTCATTCAGTTTAATTGAAATTTGTCTTTGATTTTCAAAAAAAAAAAAATTATAATAACTACTTAATTTGTTATTAAATTCGTTAGTATTTTACTGTATTCTTGTAATGTGAGACAATCTCACATAAAATTCATCGGTAATATAAATTACACAATTATTGTTGGTAATTATTGCACCTAAAAGAGAATTAGTTGTAGCAAACCTTAACTAACCCCATGCTGCACACCTTTCAACATGATAACCAATTGATAATCTATGAAAAGTTTATTGGGGGGTTTTCTTAATACATTACATCCTTGGACCATGCATTTTTTTTAATTATTTTTTCTTTTTTCTGTTATTAAACAGAGTGTATAGCTTTGACTGTAAAACAATTTTGGATGAGGGAATATAGAAGTGGACAAAGGGAACAAGACAATGCTTTTTAGTCTTTAGCTAAAGACTAAAGAGATTGGCAACCCTTCCGTACCAACCTAATATGTTGGTCAAACTTCAATGGCTATTGAGACTCCAACTCGTACATTTATTAATTGGATAGAATTTCTATTTTTATAGAGAAAAATAAATAAAATAGAAAAATTAGTGGTGGTAAACGTATTTTTAAAATTGAAAAACATAAAATGAAAATGTCAAGCACATTGTGTTCAGATGGCATGGAGTAACCCTCCAATATGGGAGGTCATAAGATTGAGCCTTAGTGGAGGCCTTGTTGACTCTTTGTGCTTCATCAGGTTGAGAAAATATAGATGAACAGATACTACAATGTAATAGAGTCAGTAGCTTTCAAAAATAAACATAAAAAGAAGAATAATAAATTTGCGTTTAGTTTCTAGATTTTTTTTTTATTTTCTTGGAAAATAAAAATCATACTGCTGATCTTTTTTTTTTTTTTTTTTTAAACTAAGTCTCGAAACTAGCCTTTAGTATCATATTAACAAAATCAGAAAAATCAATGTTTTGGTCTCTCAATTGTTTTGCAACTGTTAATTTAGTCCTTAACTTTCAATTTGAACTAATGTTAACCTCTAATTGTTTTAATTTTAATCAATTAAGTTTCCTTGTCACTATTCGGTTAATCAGCCGTTAATTGTCATTATTCTAGAGGGCATTTTAGAATTTTCTCATTACCCCTTTTATCTCTTTCAAGAACAAGGAGACCCAGCCTCTATATATCTCCAATGCTCAACTTCTCTATCCCAAGCTTCCTGAAGCTCGCGTCAATCGACAACTTCCCATCGTCGCAATACGTACACCTAAATACACTTGCGCATATATTCGATGGAAATCATCTGCACAGTGATGCTCTGGAGGTCGTGGGTTGCATCTAGTGGCATGATGTTGATTTCTCGGAAGCTACTCATAGATCAGTAGTTACTCTGCTCCTCCGGTTCTCCTCAAGCTCTAGCTCTTTGGTCAATGAGCTTTCTTCCTCAAAGTCAAAGCTCTTGAACTCTTACTCTTCCAACCTTATCTCATTATTGCTAGTCCTGGGGTTGTAACCGACTTTGGAAGATGAAGAGCTTGATTTGAGTAGTGACTTGGCTTCGATTAGGCTGGTGCGAGCTATGAGGACGCTACGGAACTCGTCATCCAGTCAAGCTATGACGATATGCTGGATTGCGTTTTTAGTGTTGCTCTGCTCAGCTGAGTCGTATGCTACAACTTCATTTCCACGATGAACGATTAAGGTGATATAAAAGGGGCCATGAGAAAAGTCTAAAATGCACTCTCAAATAATGGCAACTAACAACTAATTGACGGAATAGTGCCAAAAGGGACTTAATTGACGAAAATTAAAACAATTCGAGAATTACATTAGTTCAAACTGAAAGTTAAGGACTAAATTGACAATTGCAAAATAATTGAGGAACTAGATCAGCGATTTTTTTCTATTCAATCATTAACTTAAAAGAATCTAAACCTTTAGATAAGTTTTAAAATTTGGTCAAAATTGATTTATTATTATGAAAACTTTAAAAAAACTAAAGTGTTTTGTGACACTTTTAATAATCGTTATTTTAGTGATAATAATATGAGATACTATATTTATAGTTATTTGTGACCAAAATTGTCCAAAAAAGTGGATTGATGATAAGGCTGTATAGTAGATTAGCAGGTGGTTATGGTGGCGGCAGTAACCCAAGTTGGGAATTGGAAAATGGGTTGGCAGTTTGGCAGTTGGCAGTGAAGTGGTTTTAACGTATTTCTTACACTTATCCTCACCAAATTTTCTTGCACTCGTGACTAAGGGGTTATGATAACTGTTGATTTTTAAATTCAGAGAAAATGATTTTAAAAAGTTATTTTTAAAATTTTGTAGTGTCTGACTATCTAAAAAAGTAATTGAAAAATAGTTAAAATACTCATTTTAATCATTAAAAAATGATTCATTTTGACAATATATATGTTTGATAATTTTATTAAGAGGTAATTTTTAAATTTTGTAAGAACATCTACCATAGAGAAAAAAAAGAGATAAAAACATAGAGAGGGAGAAGAATAAATGTTTTTTTTTTCCCTTACAAGCCCACAACAAATCCAAACTCCTGCAAGTTATTATTATTATTTTTTTTCTCCAACTTTTAGTACCAAAAATATCCATAAATTAGGGATGCTCTAAAACACTATTTGAAGGTTTAGATTTCTTTGATGTCAAATATATGGAGCGTTATGCCATGGAACCGTGTTCACCATTCATGGTGAACAATGGTGAACACGGTTCCAACGGTGTTAGTACACCGTTATCTCTTTTTTTTTTCTTAATTAATTGCGTGACTTTTCTTCTTCATTTTCACATTTTGCGGTTTCACTTTAATTTGAGGTGAACAATGATTTCGGACATTCATAAATTATGAATTCATGCCTGCACATTCACTTTGGAACCATGCCTACACATTCCTGTCCGAAATCACGGACATTCATAAATTATGAATCCATGCCTGCACATTCACTTTGGAATCATGCCTACACATTCACTTATGGAACCATGAGATTATGAATTTTCTGTTATAAGATTATGAATTTTCAGTTATGAGATTATGAATTTTCTGTTATGAGATTATGAATTTCTGTTATGCGATTATGAATTTTCTGTTATGCAATTATGAATTTTCTGTTATGAGATTATGAATTTTATGAAAATTCATAATCTCATAACGGAAAATTCATAATTTGATCAACGCGCGCCGTTAACTTCACATCCGCGATTTTTTTTTTTTTTTTTTTGCCTAAAAACGACGTCGTTTAGCCTTGTGTTCACCATTCACGGTGAACACGTTTCCAGGGCATAATTTGCCCAAATATATGGGCTGGGCCAGCATATGCTTGTCACTATTTGAAGGTTTAGAATTGGACCGGGATGACCTACTTATAATTTGGGCAAAGACAAGTTAAACAGTAAAAAATCTTGATTAATCCGACTAACAATAATAAAAAAAAAAATATTATTCATCAATTATTTTTTGGTTAGTGTTATTATATTTATTAAATTACATTATGTATTTATTTTTGTTATTAATAAAGTTACAACTTAAAAATTATTTATTTATATCTTTTTATTATAGTTATTGTTGATCTCTATAACTTATTAATTATTATATAAATTTTAATTTATATAATTATCTTTTTTTTTTTTGTTTTGAAAACATTTATTTTATAACTTTATCTTAATGTAAATAAAATCACAATATAAGTACAACGACAACAAATTTAAATTATCTCTTAAAAATAATTAATATTTTTTAAAAAGAAATAATTTTGTAATAGATTTCTAGTCAATTTTGAACAATGAACTAAACAGAAAAATACATTTTTATGACTTTTAAATAAACACAAAAGAATATAAAATATTTTTCAGAAAATAATTTATTTTTCCTAAAACATTTTGAATTTTCAAATGGACCTTAAAAATAAGTTTAGTAGGATTAAGTGAAAGAGTGTTAGTGCACCGGTTAATTTTTTTTTAATAAAATAATAAAAAAAGTTGAGTTAATAACTTAATATTGATTGATGTTAAAAATGGTCTCGAAAGGGGTGGTTGAGTGAACGAAATATGATTATTGTATTAGAAGGTTACGAGTTTGATTCTTGCTAATACCTTTTCAGTTGATCGAGTCCCTCACACATGGTTAGGAGTATGGTTTAATACCTAATAATGTACACCATCGGGTAGTAATTACGAGTTTAAAAAAAGGATAAAAAAAGACCACATTAGGTGCAATAGTGTGTGAATAAGTCTCAATCAAATTAAAAGTCATGCATAGAGAGCTGGAAACTTCATCAACAACTACAATCCCCATTTTGAACAAATATTACACTACTTATTATTAGTATTGAGAACATGTCATACTTGTTAGTTCACAGTGGTGAGCATTTAATTAATTAGACAATGAGTATAATTAACATCAAACTTAGTAAACATTATTGTAATATTAGAAGTGAAAAAT